AGTTGCCGGCAATCTCCCTCTTCATGCAAATCTTGCAAATTAAGAGAGAAAAGACATTAGAATGGCACCATAAAGTATTATATTGGTAAAAACATCATAAATTACAGTAGAAAAACATGATGCCAAATGGACGTATCAAACCTCCTCCACGCACTTCATCGCGCGGATCACACCGCATGGACCTTCCCACATGGACAACGTAGGCAAACCTCCTCGCGCAAGCCTTACTCGACGGACCTCCCGCATGAACTTGCTGCGCATACCTCGCTACACCGTAGACTCCATCCCAAACATGCAGACCTTCTCGCCCAAATAAATCGGCTTCAACTGCATTGCATCGTTGGTTCACCAAGACGACCTTGTCGCTTCGTTACACCATCACCACATTGACTCCCATGATCAATTCCGACTTCGCCGCACCCAACTCGAGTGCTCCGGCCTCGCCATGTCCTGCTTGAGGGCTCCAACTCGCTCCTTATGACACCATGTCCTATCTATAGGATTATTTTGGCAATGAATATTCATTGGACAAATTTGTTTACGTGTGCGAACTTCTTCACGCGCCTCGTTTATTGTGACGGCTCATCAAGCACGAGCAACTACTTGATGGTTGTTATTTTGCTCGGTCATCCTTTTGACCTTGACACTGACTCTTTGACCCATTGACCATTGACTTTTCAAAAAAATTAAATTTGAAAATTTTCACGAATACAAAATAAGTTCACAAATTTGAAAAAAATATGCATTAGAAAAAAGTTCATAAATTTGGAAAAACTTCAAAAAACTTCATCGGTTTGATAAAATGTTTTGTGAAATTTGAAAAAAATCATGCATTAGATCAAGCCAATGATTTTTTTAAATCATGAACTTTAAAAAATCCACAAATTTAAAAAATGGCCGCGGATTTGGAAAAGTTCATGAATTTGAAAAAAATGTTCACGAAAAAAATCCATCAATGAAAAATCACGAATTTGACAAAAATGTCATGAATGAAAAAAGGAAAAAAAATAAAAAAGTAAAATGAAATGGAAATAAAAAGGGGAAAATGAAAAGAAACCAAAAACAGAATAAAAATAGTTTGAAAAGCATCTAGAAGCTTCCAAAGACGTAATACAGGTGTGACACGTGAAAATTGCGAGCGCAATAAATTTTTCTCTGAGGCTAGATACGCTCCACTTTATTGATTAATAACAAGAGTTCATAGTAATACAATGAATATGAGGGGGATAACCATGCCACGTATGTCAACCCATAGAAAGGTTCATATCGAATTTAGGGAGGCTATATGCCTCGACATTGGACTCCCGTCCTTCGAAGATGAAAGAGCGGGACTAGAACTTAGTGGGAGTGATGATGATCTCTCTGATTGTACTTGTATGTTTGCCACAACTAGAAAGGTTTGGTTTTTTCGTCTGGTTTTTTTCGTGAAAAAGGTTCGTTGAAACCTATCAACATGGGATCTAGCTTTAAAGATCTCGATGTGAGGAATCCAACGATGAAAAGGGTTCGAGATTTGGATGCACAGTTTGAAAGATAAAATATTTTAAATAAATGAATCTACGAAAAAGGGAAAACTCATAGGTTGCGACAAGTGATGCACATGCAATGCGACACTTGTCGCAACATGGAGAGGTGGGGGTGACCTTTGCAAAGAGTACTCCTAAACTACTGATTTTGCCTATACAATGCCTTATGCGCAACTTGTCCAGCCGGTGCCCACGCCCATAGTCTGTTGGGCCGGCCTATCAAGCACGAGCAACTGCTCGATCGCTCAGCTCGCTCGATGGTTGTTGTTTCACTCGGTCGTCATTTTGACCTAGACCACTCACCATTTGAACCATTGGCCATTGACTTTTCAAAAGATTGGAACATATTATATATGTAAAAGAATTGCGAGTACAAAATAATTTAACGAATTTTGAAAAAATTTCATGAGTTTAAAAAATGTATTTGTTCGGTAAATTAACAAAATCTGTAAAAAAAAATTAACGAATTTGGAAAAAGTTTTCGCAATGGAAAAAAATCCATGATTTTAAAAATATCATGAATTTGAATTTTTTCACAAAATTTATTTAAAAAATCACCAATTTCAAAACAGTTCATCGATATCAATTTTTTTGTGGATTTGAAAAGGTTGTGAGTTTGAAAAAATCTCATCAATCTAAAAAACACAAATTTGTAAAAAAAAATTATTTGAATTTTACAAGAAAAAATACATGAAAAAGTAAAAGAAGAAAACCAGAAAGAAGGCAAAACACTGGAAGAAAACTAGTTTGAGAAGCATCTAAAAGCTTCCAAAATCGTAATGCACGTGTGGCACCCGAAAACTGCACACACAATCATTTTTTTATGCTAAACATGCTTCACTTTATATTGATTAACAATAGAGTTCATAGTCATACAACGAGTATCTGGGGCTGACCCTTGTATGTTGACCTACAGAAAGGTTTACAGCGAATTTAGCAAGACTATAGGCCTCGATATTGGACTCCTGTCTTTCGAAGATGGAAGAGCAGGACTAGAACTCAAGGGCAATGATGATGATCTCTATGATTATACTTGCATGCTTGGCACGAGAAACAGATTTGATATCTTGTATAACTTCTTTGCAATCTGATGCAATCAGAATATTACAGAGACACAAATCCTTCGCTAGAGCTAGTGCCTTACATCAGGCTAAAGCTTCGAGAGTTGCTGGATCTAAAACATCATGACAGTTGATGGTCGAAGACCCCATATATAATCCATTAGAGCCCCTGCAAACCGCACCAAAAGAACCTGAATTTGTGCAATCTGGGAAATGCCCCATTAACGTTCAACTTAGCAAAGCTAGGGGCGGAAGAGTCAAACCCCCAGGTCCCTACCGCATGGACGCGCCCCGCGAGCGCGTCACGGGAGATTCCCCTCCGCCGCCGGCGCAAGGCTCCGCCCTCGCTCACCCCTCCTCCTCGCCGCTGCCGGAGGGCGTCCGCCGGGCAAAGCCCGTGCGGCGCTGGCAGCGGTGGGGACCTCTTCTCCCTCTCCTGGTCGGGGTCTCGGCGGCGCGGGCCGCCGCTCGTGGGGGATCTGGATCCGGCGGGGCCTCCGGCGGCGGAGACGTGCGGATCTGGTAGCTTTGCTGCTGGGAGGAGGCGGTGCGGCCCCGCGGCGGAGGCGGCGGGGGTTTGATCTGGCGCGGCCGATCTGGCCCCCTGGGGGCTGCGGGCGTTGCGGGTGGCGGCGGCCACTGCTGGAGCATTCGGTGCGCCGTCTTTGCCGTGCTGGGCGGCGAGTCGGCGGCGGGCTTGGAGTTGGCGGCTCGCTTTCCTCCTCTGCTGGCCGGTCTGCGGGCTTGTCCTGCTCGGCTGGTTGGTGGAGCATGGCGTTGCGAGCTCTGGGTCGGGGGAAACCCTTGACCGGCGGTGCCGGTCACGATGTTGGCGACGCTCGCAGCGCCGTTCTCCCTCTGGTGGGCGACATCGAGACCCTCTCCTCGCCTTCAGGATCTCCATCGGGGGCGCCGCACGGCGGTGGGATCGGATCGGCGGCAACGTCACCGGTTCGGCGGAGGGTTCCGTTCCAGCCAAGCGCGAGATCGGGACGCCGTGGCTTCCGGTGAAAATCGCGTCTGACTGCGGTCATGGCGGACGATGGCGGCGTCTTGGACGTCGTTCCCTTCTCGAGGCATCGTCGTTGCAGGTCATGTCAACCTGATCGAAAGGTTCCGGGGGAAACCCTAGATCTGGATTTACCGGATCGGACGATGGCGACGTTTCGTCGTCGTTCTCCCTCCTGGGGGCATCGTTTTGGAGCAAGTGTTGACTGGAGGGGACAAGAGGAGGAGCGGCGTGGCATCTGGCACGTCGACATCAGCGGGTCTCAGCGGCATGGAGCAGCGGGGGTCCCGCCGGTGGGCGTGTGATGATGGACGAGCGCAGGATGGCGGCGCTGTTTGGCGTCGTGGGGGCGTCGATGGCAGAGAGGCCTAGCACGGTTCATGCAACAGTACAGCTCTGAAGATGGATTGATGGTACGTGGCTGCGGCGGCCTCATACCCGGCAGGGGGCCTGGTTGAAGAGCACGCCGGACTGGTGGGTGCCCATACCCGGAAGGAGTCCTGGTTGGGACCTCAGGTCTCAGATGTTAGGTTTGGCTGCGAGGTCTGTTTGGTATTAGGCCCAGACCATCAGCGCCCCTTCATCAGTTAGATAGGAGTAGCGACAGAGGTTGCGAAGATGGTGGCTTTGGTCTTACTGTTGTACGACTTTGTAAGGTCTTGTGTTATAATCAATAAAGTGGCCGTATGCATCGTCCAGATGCAGAGGCCGGGGGTATTCCTCCTTTTCAAAAAAAAGGTCCCTACCGCATAGCTGTCGGTCGCCGGTTCTGTTGTTTCGTATGAGAAGCTTCAAATTTAGTGAAGTAACGTGTGATAAACTGGTGTTGCATGAGAACTTTGGAAATTTTGTCCATGAATGGCCTTCCAGCATACCAAATCGCCAAAGAGTGACCAGGACTGTCACAACATTTTATGTGGCAGTGGTTCCATCAATGCGCGCGCAATAAGTATGCAGTGCAAAAGAAAATAAATTAAACAGGACGGCCCAATTCCTAGGCATGTGTGTGCTAGGATGGTATGCGTCATTTGCAAAGATGCCTATAAGTGGCGCCTGAAGCGCCAAATATGAATTGCTTTTTTTAGGGGAAAATATGAATTGCCTTTTTCTTTAGAATCAAATACGAATTGGCTGGAGGAACGAGGCAAGATAGCAAGACCGCTAGGCCTACTCTTTGGAATCACTTACTAGTGGGCTGTGGGCCGGCCTTATTACAACTCTACTGCTGAGCCTACCAACATTTCCTCTTATGGTAACACCCTAGCAACTTTGTTTATCCCATCTACATAACACAAGCCCCAAAGGGAAAGAAAACAAGGACGGACATGTGTACATTTCCTCTGTATACTCTCCCCTAGACGCTAGACTGAAGCACCGACCATATATGTCCACGGTCAAAACGCTTTACTCCCCTTCTCCTTCCTCCTCCTGCGCAATCCTATGGACCCTGATGGGCAGCCCCTTGGGGAAGTCGACGAACGGGTAGACGAACGCCTGGTCCGGCTCGGCGAGCTCCCACCGGAAGTTGAGCACCAGGTGGTGCAGGAAGATGGCCATCTCGAGCTTGGCGAGCTCCGACCCGGCGCAGAGCCTCGTGCCGCCGCCGTAGGGCATGAAGTTGCTGTTCTGCGCCACCCCAGACGCGTTGCCCTGCAACAAACAAACAGCAAACACACATCATCAACACCTTTTTCTTTTACAAAAGAAGGATTACCCCCGGCCTCTACATCAGTCGATGCATGCAGCTATACATCGTCAACCCCTCTGAACCTGACTGAATGCATTTGTCTTCGTCATGGTGATCGAAGTGGTGGTGGTGCTGTTGCCACGACCACATATTCCCCACGGGCATTAGAGTCGTGATTAATGGCGTCGTTTTGTACGTGACGGATAAGGATGGGATGTGCACGGAGATGGACGGGTCCCCGACCCGTTCCAATCGCCCACTGATTGGATTCTCTTCCGCTTGGACCATGCGCACACAGTAGAGTCCAAGCTGCTGGCTGCATAGCATAGCTAGCGTAAGTTTATGCCTAGCTACACTAGTAGATGGTGGCGATCCGGTGAACCCCCATGACACGCACGAGAGCACGGACAATGGGGGCTCCTTTGACCGGGCGAGAGGAAGACAGAGCGAGAGGGAGCAAACACGTCTCTTTTGATCGGCCGGACCACATCAGGAGCACACGTGCGCATGCGAGCTCAACATTCCCTTTCATGTCAGGCCCGTCCGTGCGTGCGTGTTGTTATCGTCGAGTGGAGCTGAAAAGTCGTGCATTTCCACAATCTGCTCCAGCTAGTCTATGCACCACTGTACTCCGATTAGGAACACATTTATTAGCCCGATCGTGCGCATTCTTTGCCCCTGAATTAAGTTTCACTGTGCAAAACGTCATCAAGGCCTATGATTGACTGAATAACAGCAACTGCTAGACATATTTTTCTTCTTCTTTTAAACATGGATCGATTTTCACGAGATATCAATCATGGTTCTGGTTGATTTTGTGTGAATAGAAATGAAATTGCAAGCATCGTTCAGGCACCGACCTGCCATCTCCAAGGGTTGAAGCTGCTGGGGTCCTCGTAGAGCGACGAGTCGAGATGCACCGCCGCTAACACCGGCAGAATTTTCCACCCGCTCGGAATGTCATACCCTGTCAGTCAGTCGACGCACATGCAAACATTCAGCAACTCCATAGGAAGAAGAAGTTCGGTAGTAAGTACTGTCAAAGAAATGCACACATGAAGAGAGAGTTAAGCCACCAACCATTGTAGTGCACATCTCGAATGACCTTCCGGTGCAGGAACCTGACCACGTTGCCTAGCCGCAAGGTCTCGTTTATAACCTGCAACAAAAGACGCAAATAATGAGTCCAACATTTGTCACTTCTGTACTCCCAAACAAGAGAGTTCGGCAGTTGGAATGTAGGATCAGAAGATGCTATTTCGGTGTACAATGACACAGTGTATAGTTCCACACAGTAGCACAACACCCACGATACTATACTACTACTGTACCAAGGAGGGCATGTGCTCCCCAACTTTTCAGGGGATCGGATGACCTGCCTTGGCATCAAACTGTGTATGGACAGCGATATTTCCCCATGGCAAAGAAGCCATTGTCCCGACCCCGGTTAGTTTAGCCCAAATCACTGATTTTTTTACCAGACTAGATGGTGTATGTTTGACGTGTTCTGCTCGTGCCGTCTGGATACCAGGGCACACGACAAAGATACCTTCTTGGCTTCTTGATGGACGCTGGCATATACGCCCAACAACACGTATTTCTCAGACCATTTTGGATCCTGGCAAGAATGCAAAACCATCCATCCATTGGCCACGCACTGCATCGGCAAACCTCCAAAACAAAAGCCATCGGCTGCTAGCTAGACAGAAGAGCAAGCGGACACCATACGGTCCAAACGAGTGGCTGGCCAACTTGCGTCGACGACGGAGCCTCTCGATCCCGCTCTTGCATGGCATTTTGGGAAGTTCCTATTGCGCTACGCACCTAGACGAGGAGCCTTGTGCTACTAGCAGCTGGAAGTAGCCAACAAAAGGCCAGGTCACGCGCACATATCTTGCACTGATATTACGAGGGAGGAAACGGGAACGGACAAATCAAAGGGGCCTTACGCATTGCGTGAAAACCATCTCTTTGTAGTCTTCCCAGCTCAGCTTGCACTCCCCTCTCAGCTTCTGTCTCCTAGCAATCTCAAGATGCTCCTCCTGCACGGCCACGGATTCACTGTCAATATTTCCATGATATTTCTGGTGCATTTCACCATCCATGTATGTACTGAAATGAGTGTGTGTGTGTGTGTGTGTTTTCTTCCGAAAGATAGCTATGTCCGGTTTAGCAGAGATCAGTTTGAGTTGGTGTAATAGTAGGCTGAATTTGTACGTACCCGCAGTTCTTCGACGGCTTTAGGGCAACCTTCGAGGAAGAAGATGGCGAGGGCAAGCGCCATTGACGATGTCTCATGCCCGGCAAAGAGCAGGCTCAGCAAGAGGTCCAATATTTGTTCTTTCGAAAGATTGGATTGCTTCATCGCCCACCCGAGAAGATCATCTTCTTCCATGCTCGAGGCCTCCTTGTTCATTTTCTCAAGCCTCTCCTCCATTTTCCTCTCTATTACTCCAAGTATGGTGGCTCGCGACTGCACGCAAACACATGGTAACTAAGAATTATATGATGTTTTTTCACGATAGAACAAAATAAAGTTATAGCGCAAAGTCATATGCGGTAATTTTGTTGGGACTTGCTAGGAGAAAATTGGACATGTCACTGTCGTTAAGATGTTGCCTAACCGCCTACTGGCCTAAGATCGTGCCTTGTGATAGCTTTCTGTTTTGGAGCAATTCATATCTTTTCAACATAGCTGCCGTCAAATAAAACAGGATACTTCTCCAGCCTACAAATTATTGTCCTTCTCCCTTTTTGGCGCTCTGACAATTAAAAAGTGATAATTAAACAAAAAAAGGGCTTGCTCTTCTGGTTTCTCTTTTTCTTCTCAATCTGTATTTTTTTTCACTTTTATGTTTAGGAACGTTTGTAGGTTGGCGAATAGGCAACGGGAAGAACTTCCTAAGCACGACTATACAATGCAAAATCGCTTTACACATTTCATAAATCAAGCATGTATATGCCAACATTGATGACACCAACCATTTGCTTGACAAAATTTCCCTCTACATCAATCTAGGTATACTGTATATAAAGGATTGATCTCAGCTAACAAGGGGTGCTTAATTAAAACAAAATTAAGAGGGGTGCTAATAGCGTGCCTGGCGACATAAATGTGGTTCCAGTGTGGTAAAGAGTTGGTCAGCGGTTGAATCATGATAAATGATGATTCCCCCAACATATAATCATGCCAAATTATGGAGGTTGGTCACTGAACTTTTTCTAAGAGGTCAAAACTCCAAGTTGCAATTGTGTGCTGTTGAGCACGGGCCGTGTGTAGGGGAGAGAAAGAGTGTGAGAGCATGCATGCATGCATGCTGCATGCTGCATCTGGGAGCAATCAATAAAGATCATTTGAGTGTGACCTCACAAGCAGTAAAAAGCGGGCAACATTTTATGCGCCCATGAGTGATGATCAGTACTACCTCCGAGGCCGGGCAAAGCAGGACGCCGGGAAAAAGAAACAAGAGTTGATCGATCTAATCACAGGTAGCACCGGCGCCATGTCCTTTGCATGAATGGTTTTCTAGCTACATGTTCACTACTACTAGTAGCACTATGCAGTGGTATCAACTATATATGATTTTCTTGCCATGCATAATTAAGTAGATCGACTGGCTGATTAACCCTAGCCCCTAGCTAGCTAAAAACGATCCCAACCATGCACCAACTGGCTTGACCTAGATGGACACACACCTTTCAACCAACGTTTGTAAAAGGAAACCTAGCTTTTCACTATTCTCTCAAGAGTTCCTTCTTTTATTATACCTACTATTAGAATGAAAAAAGTGTTTCTTTCTTTTAGGTGCCCATACATGCAGTGACGAGAAACTAATTTTGTGCAAACACCGGTGCAAATTCATTCTATATATAGATAGAAGGGTGGCAATGGAAGTGGCTTTAGCAGAAAGAAAATAAGCATCGATGATACGGATCCAGTGGTGTCTGATTGGACCTGATGCAGTCGTACGTGTGCACCGATCCTTTGGACCATCCACTATTCGGAACCCACACCCCTACTAGCTAGCTACATGCTGCCATGTAAGTAGTAGTATATTAATGCGTCCATTCTTCTGATGGCTCTCTGCATATGCAACATCGGTGCATGGGCCATGTATACACGACGACGATATGAAATGAAATTGCATAGTACAGTAACAATGTCAAAACATATGCTTCCCTTTGGTTGTACTATAAGGAAGATAAAAAAACATATGCTTCCCGTGAGAGGACAACTGACCAGAAAACAAAAGCTACAAGACAAAGGAGGTTTCTTTCATAATCTCGAACTTATTTTTCGGTACTAGACGAGACACCCAAGCGTGCGCGCAGAGAGAGGGACAGGTTGCTAGCGGTACTAGCGGCGTGTTGACTGCTGAGTGTTGCTGTTGTGTTTGTGTAGGAAGGAAGGAGTAGTGATCGACTCACCTTGAGGGCCTTCCAGTAGGCCGTGCCGGGGAAGTTGAGGGGCGCGGACACCACCCCCTTCATGAACGTGATGTACTCGAGCCTCAGCCGCTCCGTCTCCTCCTCGCCGGGGTCCATGCTCATGATGTTCTTCGCCATCAGGTTAAACGTGAACTGCACGCACCAACGAACGCATCCATCCATCGTTAATTAGCAGCCGGGCGGGGGTACGATCTCGCTTGCTTGCTTGCATGGACCACGCCGCCACCATCACCCCGCTGCCGCGGGTGCGTGCGCGGCGTGTAGGTGTGTGCTATGCAGGCGCTGTGCATGGCGCGCGGTTAATCGGACAGTTGGTGGTTTACCTTCTTGGCTTCGTGCTGGGCGGAGAAGACGGCGGAGGAGGAGGAAGGCAGCCAGTCGCGGAGGACGAGGAGGGTGTGGCGCTCCACCTCCGGGAGGAGCACGGCGCGGAGGCGGACGGAGCTGAGGAAGTTGAGGGAGATGGAGCGCATCTCGCGGTGGGGGTCGCCGACGAGCACCAGCATGGACCATTTGCCAAGGATGCCGCCGATGCTCCGCGGGTAGCTGCACTCGAACAGCCGGCCCTCGTTCTGCAGGACGTACCGGTTCAGCCCCGCGTCCGCCGACACCACCGTCCGGTCCCCGAACAGGCTCGACCGGTATATCTTCCCGTACCTGCATCCATGCGACGTCAGCCCGAATGCCCGATCGATCGTCCACGCCTGCTCGCATGCCTGTACTGATGTATGTATGCATGTGTGTGTATGTACCGACCGTGCGATGTGCTGGTCCATGAACTGGCCGATGGAGGTGGCCGGGTGGGCGCGGAGGTACCCGAAGGTCTCGCCGATGAAGGGCCAGCCGACGGCGCCGGGCGGCAGGTTCGGCCGCCTCTTCTTGGTCCGGCCGCTCCACCGGTGGAGGCCATGGCATTTAGCCACGGCGCTGGTGTAGAAGGTGAGCAGGGCCAGGAGGATGAAGGGGAGGAAGAAAAGGAGCTCGCTGGTTATGGAGGCCATGATGGCGGCCATGAGCTACCGATCCGATGGAGAGCCCGCGGTGTCCTGGAATTTAATTCCCTTCTCGATCACTCGCTCGCCGCGTTGGCGTGTGTGCGAGAGATGATGGGTTGGAGAGAGAGAGAGAGAAAATAAAACCGGGGCTGGATTAAAGAGTGGCTTTAAGCTCTAAAGATTTCTCTCTCTGCAAGCTTTGTGCAAAGAAAATCTTGCTAGGAAGGTGCCCACTTCGCGACCTCCCCTCTCTCTGTTGTGGTGCTCTTATATAAGTTTTTGAGGTGTGTGACAGGGAGGGAGGAGGTGGTTGTGGGGATTCTTTAGCCAGATATTAATTTTTGGTGCGGCGCAGGGCGTGGGGACACTGCCACCTCTTTTCTTTTCCTCTACACTATATTTCTCTAGGATTTGGAAAGACAAATAATCATTACTCTCTCCGTCCTAATTTTGCCCTCGTGTTTTTTTAACATATGCAGATGCCTGCATAACTCACCTTTATGAACACCCACACACACCCTCAAGGATGGCAATGGATAGAGTATGAGGTGGTAGAGCAATACCATACCCGTGTAGTCAATGAGTACAATATTCTACCCATACCCGTACCCATGGATATGAAACTTACCCGTACCCATACCCGGTGGGCATCCATACCCATTGGGTGCCCAATAGGTAGATCAAATAGTACACATGTTATTCACAATTTCACATTCATCGATATAACATTTGATTAAAAAAATCATCTCAACTCAGTAACAGAGGTTCACAATCACATGACACACTCCACAGGTAAGGTACACGTGTCAGTATAAACAACTAGGGTATGGATATATTAATGGGTAGGGTATGGGTACTACCCATGGATATAAAAATCGTCTCATACCCTGCTCATGTGGGTACGGTATCCGCGCGTACCCATATCCATGGGTAAAATTGTCATTCTTACACACCCTAGGGCTATGAGCACCTCTGAGATATTGAACCAACACAATATCTTGAGATCGACGAAATCACCATAGGCACCTTCATAGTCAACATAACACCCTTCCCACTGAACAAACATCGCAATGCGACAATTCCTTCGTGGTTGGGCTAACCACATTGTCCGTCTGTACAAACCGAAGAAGTTAAGGTTGTCCTCCCTCATCAACAATCTTGATAAAATCACATATGTGAGCCATGTACCTGATCGTGAGTTTGAACAGAAAAAGTCAATTAAACAAGCAGATTGCCCGTCTTTTGCATGAGAGAGAGATTAAATTGTATCAAAATGAAAGGCACAATTTCTCATCCAAAGTGATGATAATACGAAATACTTTCATATGCTGGCTAACAACACATATAGGAAGAAACCTATTTTCATGTTGAATAAGGATAAGGGCCGAATTTGAGTGAGATGTTCCTATCAAAGATTACATTAGTAATTATTACAAAAATATATTTGAACCTCAAGTCGAAATTGATTTATGTCTATATGAGTAATATATGATATCCCGCATGTCTCGGAAGTGAAAATTAGTTTTTAACATCTATGTTATTAGGGAAGACATGGTTAATCAAGTAGCACCGATAGTGGCTACGCTATTAATTAGGTCTAAATACGTTTAGCACTAAACACTAGAGTGGCAGAGACCATTGGATTGATGCGGTTGAACTGATGAGGTATCTCCAATCTCTCAGACTTGCTTTTTTACATTAGATATGAATATAGATATGAATAGATAGAGATAGAGATAGAGATAGAGATAGATATAGTATAGATATAGATATAGATTGTTGAATCCCCGTAACTCCCTATTTTTATATTAGTATAGATATAGATATAAATAGTGATAGAGATAGAGATGGAGATAGAGATAGAGATAGAGATAGGAAAATCCATCTCTGCACCGAGCTCATCTGCACCCGCGCCGACGAAAAAATCAAAACAAATACTAGAAAAATTAAAAAAATTCATTTTCCTGTGCGGTAGACAATTTGATGCGTGAGGTCCGCTTCGATTTTCAAATCATTTGGATATCTGAGGAGCTCTCAGAAAAAAAGACAAATTTGGGGTTTGTAAAAATGTTTACTGTTCACGTACTGTTTTGGTCCGAGTTGTCTTTTTTGCTGAGAGCTGCTCAGATGTTCAAATGACTTGAAATTTGGAGCAGGCCTCACGCATCAAATTGTTTACCACACAGAAAATATTTAGAATTTGTTTGAATTTTTTATGAAGTTTTTTCTAACCGGGTGCAAATGAGCCTGGGCACCGAAACACCCCACTCATAGCGATAGATATAAATAACCCACCCACGTCTTATAAGTAATTGAACCTGGCCTGTAAAGAAACATGGCGTCTGAGTTGCACAAATTATCTTTCAACGTGCATACGAACAAGGGATATATGTCCACAATTTTTTAAATAGATTGGTAAATCTAACAATAATTTATAGATCTCACCAAAAATAATTTTGAAATGTGGATTAACCCAGTGCCTCTATAAATAACCTTGTAGTTTGCTTTTACTACCTCCGTTCCAAAATAATTGAAGTACCGAGTTTATTCCAAGTTAATGTCACATCTAAGATTTTTCCCAAATTTGGAATGTTTAAAAGTTTCACACGAAATTATTTTTCCTAGGAAACCCTATGTTTGTTTGCATTAGCTACATTTGACTAGGAATTGATTGAATAGGATAGGAATGTGGACCAGTTGAACTTTGGGAATTATTTAGAAACCCAAAATTATCATTTAGAGGATAATTATATGATTGTGAGAGATCTAGTGTGATTAATTGGGTTGGTTAAAAGCCCTGAGTAGAAGAAACAATAAAGGGGCAAGGTTTAGAAAATAAAAATAAACCCCCCAAATCAAGATGGCAACTCAAATAATTATGGTTGACACAAAGACAAATTCATTGGAATTCAAACAATAAGGGAAAACCACTTGAAAATGAAAATACGTCAATTATGATAATTAAACAAAGATTTAAATATGTGGTAGAAAATAATTGACCAAATTTCAAAATAAAATGTTCAACTTTCTCTTAATATTTCAAAATTAATTTAGAACAAGTTTTCCTTTGAAAATAAATTGAAATTCAGAACATATTGGAATTTAGAAAGAAACCGGAAACAAAAACATAAGAGGAAATAAAATAAAAACAGCCAGCCAGACCAGCACGGCCCAGCCTACCAGCGAGGCCCACCCAGCACAGGAAGCCCACCAGGCCACTTAGCGAAGTTGTATGCTGATGTCGCTTGAACTGCGTTGGTATTTCCCAAAAGAGGAAGGGATGATGCATCACAGATACGATAGGTATTTCTCTCAGTTATGCAACCAAGGTATCAATCCAATAGGAGAACCAATCAACACTATGTAAATGGTACTTGCACACAAAGAACAAATACTTGCAACCCGACGCTTATGAGGGGTTGATTCCTCTACGGTTAACAATGCCTGAAATTGTCAAGTTGACGGGATAAAATTTATGATAGATTGGATAAATAGATCTTGGTAAAACGTGAAATAAAAGATGCAAATAAATATTGCAGCAAAGTATTTTTGTGTTTTAGAATAGTAGATCTGAAAATAAAAGCGAATAAAAATAGTCTCAGAGCAAATATGACAAAAAGTAGACCCGAGGCCATAGATTTCACTAGTGACTTCTTTCAAGAAATAGCACACGATGGGTAAACAAATTACTGTTAGGCAATTGATAGAAGATCGAATAATTATGACGATATCCAGGCAATGATCATTATATAGGCATCACGTCCAAGATTAGTAGACCGACTCCTGGCTGCATCTACTACTATTACTCCACACATTGACCGCTATCCAGCATGCGTCTAGTGTATTAAGTTCATGGAGACATAGAGTAATGCAATAAGAACGATGACATGATGTAGATGAGATCTATTCATGTAGGAATAACCCCCGTCTTGTCATCCTTAATAGCTACGATACATGCGTGTCTTGCTGCCCCTTCTATCACTAGGAAAGAACACCGCAAGATCAAACCCATCACAAAGCACCTCTTCCCATGGGAAGAAAAATCGATCTAGTTGGCATAACTAAACAGAAACATGAGGCTATAAGTAATCATGCATATAAGAGATCAAAGACTCAAATAACTTTCATGGATATATAGATTTGATCATAAACTCAAAGTTCATCGGATCCCAACAAACACACCGCAACAAACAGTTACATCAAATAGATATCCACGAGACCATTGTATTGAGAATAAAAAGAGAGAGAGGAAGCCATCTTGATACTGCCTATGGACCCGTAGGTCTATGGTGAACTACTCACGCATCATCGGAGAGGCACCAATGAGGATGATGAACCCCTCCGTGATGGTGTCTAGATTGGATCTCGTGGTTCTGGAACTTGCGGCGGCTGGAACTGTGTTTCGTCGACTCCCCTAGTGTTTCTGAAATATTTGAGTATTTATAGGGCAAAGAAGTGGTGCGGGAGGCCACCGAGGTGGGCACAACCCATCTGGGCGCGCTTGGGTGTCCAGGCGTGCCCTGGTGGGTTTTCCCCCCTCGGGGCTCCCCTCTGGTACTTTGGCCCACTTGATGTCTTCTGGTCCAAAAAAATTCTACAAAAAGTTTCGCTGCGTTTGGACTCCGTTTGGTACTCGTATCCTGCGAACTAAAAAACAAGCAAAAAACAATAACTGGCACTGGGCACTATGTCAATAGGTTAGTCACAAAAATGATATATAAAGTGATTGTAAAACATCCAAGAATGATAATATAATAGCATGGAACAATAAAAAAATATAGATATGTTGGAGACGTATCAGCATCCGCAAGCTTAATTCCTGCTCGTCCTCGAGTAGGTAAATGATAAAAACAGAATTTTTGATGTGGAATGCTGCCAGACATGTTCATCGCATATTCTTTTCTTTTGTAGCATGGACATTTGGACTTTTATATGGTTCAAAGCAATAGTCTAGTTTTGACATTAAGATTTCAATACTCAAGCATATCAACAAGCAACCATGTCTT